ATTAGTATTATTAAAATAAGCTTCACAGGCCGCATTTGTAAGAGCTCGGCGATGCTATTTTCCACAGACTTTCTAAAGTAGAGACGATAGTATTTTTTAATACTAAAGTAGGCTTCACGACCAGCGCTTTTTGTAGGGACTTTGCGAATATATATCTTCTTTACTTCACCTGGCACTCACCACTGCCACCGTGCAATGAAGGCGCGCGGCTGCACGGTCATTGCGCTATCTGCTCCCGTGCACCCCACCCGACGAATGCATGCGCGCACGATAGATAGTTGTTTTAGTCAATTTATATTGCATGTAAAGTATGTATTTGTTTAAAAATCTGATAATAATATATTATAACAAAGCCAAATAATACTATTTAAAAACATTTTAATATTTTGCCTAATGATAAATACCAGTCTTCCAGTACCGTGCTATTAGCTAATGTTCGGACGCAAGTAATTGGTTAAAACAATAAGTTTTGCTAACTTACTCACAGTTTGCCAAATGGTGAGCCCTGTGTGCAAGCAATGCGAGGCGAAGATTGACCCGCTTCTGCTGAGCCCGCAGCGGTCTACGACGGATTCCTGGGTGCGCTGTGTCTGCTGCGGGAAGCTGCAGTACGGTTATGTGCTCCGTACGATCCGTACAATCAGCGGGCAGAATATCGTGCGGCGCTGTATTGCCTGCGAGAACGGCCCAAAGGCGGTTGAGTTCTGGGAGGAAAAGCTCCCACCACCTGATTCGACCAAAGTGCGCCGCCAGGAAAGCCTGGCAAACGTCAAGAAAGCGATGGGTCCTGACTGGTACCCCAAGAAGAAAAAGAGGCGCAGCCGCCATCGCATGCTGACCGCCCGAAACGTCAAGTACATCGAGCAAAAGAAGCAGCAGAAGAGCAGGTGATTTGGATACATTCTTATAGCCCCTTACCCCGTATAGTTTTGTATACTGACTGACGGTGCGGGGTTTGAAGCCGCACATACGGTAAGCTGACTATGGTGTTGACGCACCTACAGAGCGTAGCGCGCTTCAAAAAATAATTAGACATGGAATCAACTGTGCACCGCTGCAAATTGGTGGTTCCTATCCGCATACGCGTCACCGTAGATGGCACGTACACTCGCTCACATGGGCACACGCTAAACCATGCTATCTGTACCATCAGCTCTTATAGCGTATATTTCACTAATTGGCGCTCACAAATTTAAGCTACAGTATTGAGTGGGAACTACGTGCGACGAATAAGCTGCTGTTGGCATAGATACTACCAGTGCGTAACAGTGCAGACCGTACAGATGAACGTGGCAAGTCGATGTGTATGAACGCAATATTGTATTTTAGTGTCCTGCTCATAATGGCCGAGATGAGAGCTCGGTTGAGTCGCGGATGACTATAAGGGTGTACCCACCTCGCGCGTATATATCCGCGTTGGCTACTGCTAAGAGACGCGCGTTCAGTATACATGTATCGCTGCGGAATGGCCTGTGCCCAGTTAGTGACGCGCTTGATTATACAGACTGATTTACCAATAGCGTAAGCACAGAAAGCTAGCACGACGACGCAAAAGTCCCGATAAAGAAACAGTGACCCCATACATAGGTTGGGCTATCACGAGTGCGTGGCAAATACACTCATTAACGACCTTGCGATATATGCACGGACACATCAAATAGCACGCCGAGCTGATAAGTAGGCAGCGAAAGTTCTCCATCTAATGTATATGAACTATTATTCAATTTAAGTCTAACCATCACTACGATCTGATACTCTGCCTACGGCCATATATCTTCGTATGTTGCAGCCGGTCAAAAGAATGTGCACGCAGTAGTGCCTCTTCGTCCGATCTGGACGAGGCCTTTTGTCGTACATATCGGACCCAGTATAATGTCAGTCGGAAAGGATTTACGCCACTCTATCAGTCAGTAGCTATACAAATAAGTCAGAAAGTACGTCAGCTATGCAAGTTAGATAAATGCATGCGGAATATAGTGGAAATACCCTTCAGTAACATCACAAACAGCTCAGCAGAATAATTTCAAAGCCTAATATTGATGTTTGTGGCGACCATCGGCAAATACTACATATCCTAAAAGATACTTCGCGCGCGGAGCTGATTAACATTGCTCTATTCGACCGTCGCAATCGATGAAATGTGTCGACTGCCTCACGGCGATGACGTGCAGATGGGTAATATGTGTGAGTAGGCGTATTTACTCTAGCTACACTGGGATTCCTCACCGATCTACGCATATTTCGTAGCATCATTGATACTGACCCGTCTTCCGTACAGCATATATTAGCTTTGCAACCACGCGCGCCTCCGATTCGTGTCATTTTGGGAGCAATGCGCTCAAACGAGATTATAGACAAAACCTTCCAGGATAAGATGGTGCACATATTGCGGATCACGTTAAACCCAGGTCATGTCTACCTTTAATATGACGATCAACAATACGCATTCGATCTAGATCTATCACGCGGGTATCTATCTGTAACATCCAACTGTCACGCCTACATATTTATATGTGATGTTTCCAAAAGTGACTTTAAGAAATTCTAGCGGTACACGCTCCAGAGGCGGACAGTGGGGCATAACATGAGAACGATAAGGATATTGTGTACGGTGTTGTTTAGGAGCGTAACATAAGTAGATCACAGTAAACAAATATTATATGTAGATTCGCTCTAGGTAGAAACTCTAAGCCCACCGCAGCGCAGCGGAGGTGGTCAGCCCTCTCTACACCAATCGGCCATGCCCTAGCGTCCGCGGGGCGGGCGCCCAGAGCGCTAGTATATGTATTATGTTGCTTTGCTTTAAGTAAAACTTTCAAAGCCCACCGCGGCGCAGCGGAGGTAAGCAGCCCTCTCTACACCAACCAAACATGTCCTTGCGCCCGCGGAGCGGGCGTTTCGAACGTTACTCTTAAAAAAGTGAATGTCCTTCTGTCTGTCTGTCTGTCTGTCCTGTCTGTCTGTCTGTCTGTCTGTCTGTCTGTCTGTCTGTCTGTCTCGTCACGCTTTTTCGACCCTTTGATTAGCTGAAAGAGATGTATTATGTCAGTATATTTGAGACATGGAAGATTTCTGATTTAGAATAATGTAAATTAATTAAAGCTTTCTAGATATTAATTAGACAATTGTTTCCAAATTAGAGCATTCTAGATATAAAGGGTCGGTAACTGTAGCGTGGCGTTTGGGAAATTAATGAGCCCTAAAAGTGGATAACTACCTGGGAATAACACCAATTGTTTTGAGCAAACACGCCGTTTAGCAAGAGAGGATACTACTAAAGCAGGTAGAAGTCTATTTTTAGAGAGAAATAGTGAAGAAGTTTAGCTAATTGAGAGAGCCCTGAGATCGCTGCACGCCTTTGCCACGGAGTGCAAGCGAACAATATAGTCAGTGAATACAAAATAATATGGCAATAAGATCTATTATGTTCAGAATAAGATCCAAGGGTGAGTAAAAAAAATTTTACCGCAGAAAAAAGCGCAATTTATGCAGTGAAGTCCTGTACTAATTTCTGGGAATTGGTTGCGCCGCAAAGCGGCGCAACGAGCTGGCTTGTTGCTATATAAAAGGAAAGCAAACTATGCATCTAAACGTGGTAAGAATTACTCTGTCCATTAAATGCAAACATGCAAAGATTTGAAAAAAACTGATGAGTTTTCTTACAAGCGTTAATGACGAGTACAATAGTACTAAGGTGGGGTGTCGTCTCTTTTTTTAAAACCGCACCTTTTCTTCATGCAATTTTATGATTTTAAACTGCTGCACCGAGACCGTGCGTCGCACACTGAGGCCGTGGTTTACGGTACTCAGTACAATCAAATTAAGCAATGTCGACCACTGTTACTTTTCCTACTTTTCTTTTTAAAAATAGTTTGAAAAAAAGTGCTGCGTAGTAGCGTGTATCGCCTCAAATAATGTTGGGAAGAACGAAACTAGTTTATGAGCGGGCGGGTTGCTGACAAGATCGTAGTAAAGAGCTCTATTTAGAACAGTAAAACAATAACAACAACACTAGTGTCTTGCAATAGATGCGTTTCTTTGGCCTGGGAGGACATTTGATTTTTTGTATTCGTTTTGAAAGAAAAAAGTAAAATGTTAATAACGCTATGTACAAAAGATGAATTTTAGAAAATAGTAATTAAAACACTAATGTTGAGCGGATGGCCCAAAGTGCAGCCGAGAGAGACGACGATTGCGTCATGAACATCGAAAAAAGCATCCACGAGCTGTTGCAGCATGTACAGCCAAGATAAGTAGGTCCAAGCGATAGCAACAAGAATCACTATTGGGCGAGCTTGCTTTGAGTATTCTGGTCAAGGTGGCGCTGTAATTCCCCGACATATAAATTCGCCGTGGTATCATAAAAAAAGTCAAAATGACACGACATAAAAAATAATCAAAACATCATTGCTCCCAACCGGAATTAAACCGGGTTTGTGCTGGACTCTGGGGGTACGACATTGAATATAGCTGGAAAAATCATTGTTCCCTACCGAAGTTATACCGGATTTTGTGTGGGAGACCCGGACTCTGGGGTCCATAGAATTTGGCGAATTCCAGACAACTGGGCTTGTTTCGTTGTTCTGGTTCACGATACAAGATTTATTGTAAAACATAAGTCCATTACCGATAGCACATTACCTATTAACCATTTAGAGATTTTGTAAAATTAGATTCGGATACTTTCACGTGCTTGACGTTACGTTGATTTCACAAAAGCTTATCAGTACTGTTGCTCTCTTTATAGAAAGCACCAGTGCAGATGCTTCAGTAAGCGTTTGTTAACTTTAGAGAGCGAGCGTACCATGAACCTTGTGGTTGTACGTGGCTGTAATGTTACAAAAACTTCTCAGAGGAAAATTAGGAAAAAAAGAAGAATGGGAGGTCTTCCGGCTGAGTGAAAAGCTCAATTCCCAAATATTTTGAGGACTGCACACCGAAGAAAGAACTATTAGCGCATCCGAAAAGTTGTTGGAGATCTACAGCCTAAAAAAATCATGCTATCTGGTTGCCACCTTTTGTTCAACGTTGGCTGTGTCCGGACGTAACCACACTACGTTGGCTCGATTTACTAAGGGTACGGGGGTGGCATGAGTTCTGTTATTCACTGGCCTTCCGTGTATCGCATTGAAGCACCGTGAGCAAGTGGCGTCGTGGTTACAGTCCACACAAATGAAATCTGCCAAGGCGTTCCGACACAGCATACAGTTTGCTGGTTGCACCGGCATCTTCGCCCATCTACTCTCTTCATCAGCGCTCGGGTCGTTAGTGGTTGCTCTCCTAGCAGCAAAACGAATGTTCGCGTAACAACCGATGCAGTAGCGAGCACCAGTTGCTGTCTTCCGTCTACTAACAAAATTCACAGAGCACCTTGCACAGAGTATGAAGTGGTCAGGTGGCCCCACCGACGACTCTCTGGTGTCAAGCCTTTCATAGTAACCTGCTCCGTGAGCGTCCTGGCGGTAAACCCACGTGGTCGACTCAGTAGGAATCAGCAGTTCGTCGCTCCCAATAAGCCTTGGCGGTTTTCGTCGGAGTTCATGTGGTCGAGCAAGGTTAAAATACACGACCAGGCCGGAGCTAGGCTCGATCCGTTTAATGAACGTCACCCGAATAATCCGACGACACACGAGCCGTGCCTGTCGAGAGCGAAACATCATCTGAATACGCGTCGCAGCGATATTCTGGTGTCTCTGGAGTTCCCACTCCGTCTGCTTATCGTTGAGACGAGCTAAAGCTTCGTCAATTCGCGTCTGGATGAGAGCCTCGCAAGCGATTATCTGACAATCTTCAAGAGCGACTTCGTCGCACCAATACTTTTCGTACGTCACCGTGTTTAGATAAAACGCCTTGGTCAGTTTCCTGGTGACAACGCCGTGAGGGGCTTCCAGGAACACCTGCCACCGACAGTCTGTCGGAAGTATTGTGGCCGAAGCATGTTCAGGATCTCGCTCGAGTTCATCTCGAATCCACTTGGCATCCGTTTGGAAAATCCGATTCGCGTCTGCTAGTATCTGGGACTTTGCGTCACGCGTGTCGAGCCAAGAGAACGTTTTAGAACGGACTTCCACAGCAACTTGCTCCCGAATAGAAGTCCAGGCCACAGCTGCCTCCAACTGTGCAGCACGCTCTCGACTGGCTTTGTACTGGATACGCTCTTCGTTTTGCTTCTGCAACTTGCGGTTCGCGTGAACTCGATCAGTAGCCTCGATGAAGGAGCGTCTGCGACCCATTTCGGCCGACGCAAGAGCTTTTGCGGCAACGGCAGCACTTAGATTGTCTTCAACTTCCATCTGAGCGCTCTCGGCTTCAATCTGCTCGAGCAGCCAAAAGTCTTGTTGCAGTTGTCGTCCACGAATATCTGCTGCTGCAACTTCCTTTTCTCGCCGCTGGTGGAACAGCCAAAAGTCGATACTTGATCGCAAAGCTAGAAAGACACATGGATACGTTTAGATCTTTCATTGCTGCGAAACGAGGATTTAAACTCTTACTTTTCCGACGTCGAGCAGCAATGAACGTCATAGCCGCTTGCTTACAATAGCCACTTCGCAGCTTTGCGTCCTAGGAAACAGCACCAGAAGTTAACCCATTTTTGTGTCCTTAAGTTAAATTTCCCTCCCTCTTTACCTCGTGAAACGTGGCCCATGAACGCCAGTATCGGTTTTGACATCTGTGAACGTCATGACGTTCGCTACGTTTCCACGCTGCAGCATGTCTAAATTTTACACATCGAAAATACAGAATTAAAATTCTAGAGTTGAGTCAGTACACCTTCTAGATAGATGTCTTACATGAGCTGCAGAGAGCGCCAAAACAACGCCCATGGTCTGAAAGTAAAGCGCAGGAGCGAGGAGTTTCGTTGTTTCCCTGCCGCTAATACCATCGCGTGCATTTCTTGACGTCGTTGATGGTTTTGTCTGAATCTCCTCACCAATTTTACCTTCGAGCAAAATCGGAACTGCGCGTCACCCCTTCGCATTAACTTGCGACAGGCTACGAACCTCTTCCATCGTGCAAATCTGTGACGAGGTTCCCGAGTTTTCCAAATATCTAGTGCCTTTTCAATACGAACACGAGCTTCCTCCTTATGAAAACGCTCCTTCGCGTGCAGGTATATATCCCGGTAAAAGATCAGTCGAGTGTCGTCAGTCAAGCGTTTCCAACACAGCGTCTTCATGGTCTCGAGCAGCTTTGGGTGCGCATCTTCAGTTTGGATAGAATCAAATTATTTCGAACATTAATCTGAAACATTTTAGATCGCGTCAGATACTGGACCTACCTGAGTAATCCCAAAAAGTTTTTTCAGCAATAAAACTTCGTCTACGTTGAGTCATCGCAGCCAGCAATTCCGTCACAAACGGCTGCATCTTTGCTTCGTCCACTCCAGCACCACACGCAGTGAAGAGAATTTGCTGTAGGTCTCGTCCTCGAATGGCCATTTTCATATCTCCAATAGCCGCCGAGTTTTCAACTAAGGGAAATGCAAACTCGTGGAACCAGCGCGCTACCATCTTCTTCTCACCTTCACGCCAGCGATCAAGTACGAACAATGCGTTTAAAACCTCACGATAGTCAATCGCTGACGCTTCAGGGTGGCGTTGGAACGCTTGGAAGACATTGCGCAAACACGAGGCAATATGTGACGTGTGAGCGGAATTTAAGGATAAATGGAGCGATTTACTAAACAGAATCTCCATCTGCGGCATCGTGACGAGGTGCGTTGCTACGCCCTGCCGAAAATCGCGAGCCACGTCGATCAGCCACACCATGGACGTCAATTTGTGAAGTGGGGTAGGAGTTGGAGGATCCGTGAGTTCATTAGAGATCGGAGGTCCCTTTTTAGATGTTCCGACTGCAGCTGGTGGTAGCTTCGACTTGTTTACCAAACCTTCTGTACGATTAGTCATTAGTTCACTGACGAGTGCGTATAGATGGCGGATGTGATGCCATCGATTGAGAAATCGCTCTCGACAGTGCTGCTGCTGGTTCTGGAACTCTGAATTCACCTGCTGCTCGAATTGTCGAGCAATCGCTTCTTCTCGTCGGTCCTTGAGTCGAAGTGGGCACCATGTGTTGCCAACGCTACCTCCAAGCCGAAGCTTCTGCAGTATCGGCGAGCGTGGAGACGTGAGGCGGCGTTTGAAGTCGCGCTTATGAAGATGGTCACCGATGCCGCCGATTGACTGCATGGGTATCAGTTGAGTGTGACGGATATAGTGCGGCGCTTCAACTAGAGAAACTGGGAAACGAAGAATGGGGAAAGATCCGACCGATGAAGACGCACTCACTGCGTCTACCGCGATCCTGGCCGCCGTCTCAGCCGCCACATTCGCGTCCAATGGCCAGCCAAACCCACAAGAATCTAATGAAGCCAAGCGTGAATTTGGAACAGTTGCTTACGAGCGTGTACTGGCAGAGGGAGAGTGTCAGTGCGTTGAGAGGACTGGGAGAAAGCTGCAAGCCCTCGACAACTTCGTTCACGTTTGGGTGCGAGATGCGCGTTCTTTCCGTCATGGATTGGAGAGCTCAGTGTACGTTGGTCGGTACTTGTGCGAATGGAACATATTAAGCTGATACGACGGTAGTCCGTACTTCTCGTTGCGTGTAGCATCATCCATTCCCGTCAGTGAACTGCGGGTATGTCGTCCAGTTCCTTTCCGAATGGTCAACCCTTTAAACTGCATGTCGTCTCCGCAGGATCTGGTACAGAAACGTTTTTCTCTTGTTTCCTCTTATCGAAAACAAGAGGACGGAGATCTCCAACTCTGTTTTGACGACCAAACACTGGAAGACGAGGAAACGTTTTCTGCGTATCTGTCAGGCAGAAACGATAAACCAGAGCACAACAGGCCCACAAATCACCGACAGCCTTCGTGGCCTAAACCATTTGCAGGTTTGCTTGATTTTTTTATTCGAAACTGAAAACTTGTTGTCACCTTGACAACGTGTTTGAATCGCAGGCATTCTGTGGGTTTTGCCATGGCGACCATCTCGGAAGCATCTGCTGCAATGGGGAGACGGTGATAATTCCAAGGCACGACAAGAAGCGCATACTGGTAACGATTAAATTTTACAGTAAAACCAATTATAACAAACTACCAACTAATTGTAGAGCATCTACGGTACACGCTCCATTCTTCATAAAAAAGTCTCATCCCAATAACCCTTGGGTCTCCTCGTCACTGCTCGTCTCATCACTACTATTCTCTTCCTCCTCTCTAATCTTCTTACTCGTCTTTATCTTCTTATTTTTCTTCCCACGCCTCCTCTTTCTCTTACAGCAGCAATTGAGGTACTCGCTCCAGCTCGTCTCTTTCTCCTGCTTGTACGTCGGGCCGCCTCCCAGCAATCGGTTCAGACACGGGACCAGAAACTCACAGCGACACAAGCATCTGTACGTCCAGCTCTCTTTGTCCTCTTCTTCTCTCGCCTTCAGTCCTTCCAGCCCCTTCTCGTGACTCTGAAGCTCCTCGTTCATCTCCGTCACTAAGGATCGCGCCTTCAGTCTTGGGACGTGCAACATTTCCCGAGCATCATCAATCATGACTGGCGTGGCGTATATGTCCAGTGTCCAGCGTGCAATGGGTTTGGCATCGTCTGTCCCGTACAGCTCTGCATAGAGCGCGTACACCTGCGGGTTCACACCCCGATAGTCTTTTGTCTGTGTAAGATTGTCTCGTACGCGGAACTCTTCTCGATCAAAAAGAGTATCATTTGTCAGAGGACCTAGTCTCTTCGGTGCGTTGGCGTCATCATCGTCGCCCAAGACGTAGCTCATCCAAGCGTCAAGCCACTTGGTTTCGACCAGAAACCAGGCCTCATTGCGGCGAAGTTCTCGTGAGTCAAAGATGAGGACCAGGTCGCGCTCCATCTGACGGCGTGTGAGAGGGTGCTGGCTGGCGGTGAGGCCACATTCCAGGTCCACAGACTCGTTGTCACTTGAAGACGCAGGACGAGAAGACAGTGAAGGCGCCATAGCGAAAAAACTGAAGAACGTGACGTTGGGTACATCATAAAAGTGATGTGGTGTACCTGGAATAGTGTAGCTTACAAAAACATAATCCATTGCATCGGCATTACAAAAAGTTCTACATGTAGTTTTGTTGATTGATAGTCTGAGCAACTTGTTGGCGTCGTTCCCTTCGTTTAGGACGCCAACGGCTGTTTTCCTCCAGGTATCGCTCACTTTGCATCTCGCGCAGTCGTGATACAGCGCGCTTGAAAGCAACTTTCAGGTCTTTCAGCGCAACCAGGTTGCCCACGTCCAACCCGGCCATTTGCGACGGACCATAGGCACCTACAGCGGCATCCCAAGAACTGGTAGTAGGCACGCCTACAGCTGCATTCTCCTTGTTCACTCGCTGCTTCTCCTCCTCGAGTGCAGCAGGGCTATTGGCTCCTTCCGACGCTGCACGTACGCTGTCATCATCAAATAGAAAAATGGCTCGAGGCTCGGCGGCTTCGGTCGATAATACAAGCCGCGTGCGGTGCTCGTACAACTCGTCTACTAGCAGTATAAATCGTCGTGCTTGGTCGTGCTGTGCCATATTCAAAGCAGGTACGTCGTCGAGTACCAGAGTATGGAAGCACTCCGCCATCGCCTTGTAGTCTGCAGCACCTTTCTCGGTGTCGCACAACTGACTGAAAGACGCGCGACATACACCGCTCTTTGCGTGGCCTCGGACATCCAGAGTACGTCCCATCATCACAGGAACACGCAAGTGCTCGTCCTGAACACTGCCGTTGTCCTCGGCAAGACCTTCATCGCCAAGCACCAGCAGATCTTTATACACAGCGTCCATCTTGTGCTTTGTAACATCCGTCAACGGGGACAAGAACGTCTCCTCACCACCCACAGGCTCGCATAGAAATCTGTAGTCCACGTCTGAGTTCATCGGCACCACCCTCGTATGCCGCGCCAGTTGATCCAGAAACGGCAAGAAATACTCGCGGTTCGTTCCGTCCTTGTATAAATCCTAGCACAAGAAAGCCATACTGGGGGGGTCAGCTACCAGCTATCAACACCTGATCCCCATGTGCAGTTTCGCATACCTGTGGCGAGGTATTTGACGTTGCAACCATCACGACTCCACGCGCAAAGAGCACACCAAACAGCTTCCTCATAATAAGAGCGTCTGCCACATCAGTGACTTGAAACTCGTCGAAACACAGCAAATGGCTCTCGTCCGCAATAGCGTGCGCCACCTGTAGCACCACATCTCGACTCTGGTCCAGCACAATGTGTCGCTGTCTACCGTAACGATCCAGCTGCTCCTTCTTTTCCTGATTCAGTCGTGTCTGCACTTCCAGCATAAACTCGTTGAAATGAACGCGGCGCTTGCGCTGCACGCTGGCGCCCCGGAAGAAGAGATCCAGCAGCATGGACTTGCCTGTTCCAACGCCTCCATGGACGTACAGACCACGAGGGACCATCATTGATTGCTCACCCGCTTCTTCCGCATCCTTGTCTTCGCTTCCAGCCACCGTTTGACGCATTGATGGCTGGAACACGGGTAGCTCGTAGCCGCTGAGGCGAGAATGCAGTTTGTCAAGAAACCGGCGTGCGATAGCAGCCTGTTTGGCGTCGAAAGCCAAATCCCCGCTTTTCACTAACGAGTCATACGTTTCAGATGGCTTTGCGGATGACGTTGGTAGAGAAGCGAACCATCGCGGTGGGGAACGAGTGCCGAGGAGACAAGAACGTAGCCGATCGCCGCCCAGCATCGAACAGGACTGATGAAAATTAAAACTTTACTGATGACTTGAATTGTCTTACAGAATGTGAAAATATATTTTATGCCACTTTTAGCGAATAAACTCAACCTCAACACTTTTGTCCTAGAAAAAAAGCCAAAACTCGTTTAAGTACGACAGAGTTTAACTTGGTTTTATAAAAGTGTGAGCAAGTTAGTCCTGCAATAGATGTACCCGGGAAAACAAGGATCGAATGAGGAGCGCAAGATCCAAGAGAAAAAGGAAATTTGTTGCCGCATCGAGCACCGCACCAGTTTTTTGGAGTTTTGATCAATCTAACGTTAGTATTGACTGCGCAACTTATGGAAAATGAACATGGATTACATGTAGAGAAACCATGTCAGTGTGTGTGGTCCGCGTGGAAGGCGCACGGCTGGTGCAGGCTGTCCCGAATCGATATAATTTAAAAAATTGCCCTCCAAGATAACAGTGGTAATAGTTATTGCCGCTAAAATAACTTGTTGATTACGTTAGAATCGTTCATGGTCACGCAAGCATCGGTACCCAGAAGCTACCGTATTGCGTTGAGCAGACGACGTTCGCCTACGGGTCAACAACGTCTCGCTGTAGCTCATTGGTCACATTCATAGTACCAACCAGATATTACTGTTCGCGAATCAAATAAAACAACTGTGCGGTAGTGATACGTTGAATAGTCGTGGCAGCTCAAGTTGATAATTAAAAATGGTTTCAATTTAAATTTCTCTACGTTATTCCTTACCAATCTGAATCGGCATCGTTGGTGAAGTCGCAATTCAGATTGCCCCTGGGTTCCTGGACAGCCAACACCTGTCACGAAGTGTACTACCAGACCTCGCTTTATATCGTTATTAGTGTAACGAGTCGGAAAGCTACGTGGACCACGTGGGTGTCGAGCCAGTTGGTGATCAGTCGCACGAATGGCACACGGGCGGCACGTCAGGTCTGGGAGACGAGGTGGAGGAAGCTGATATAGGCGCGGAGGCTGATATGGGCGCGGAAGCTGATGTGGGCGCGGAGGCTTAGGTGGGCGCGGAGGCTGATGTGGGCGCGGAGGCTTAGGTGGGCGCGGAGGCTGACGTGGGCGCGGAGGCGGATGGCTGTGGCCGCGAAAGCCTAAGCTGGAACGGAGGACGGGGTGGAGTGGAACGGAGTGGATGTGGGAGGAACGGAGATAGTGGGGTGAGCTGAGTTGAAGTACCGTGAGGCAGCCTCGGCGTGAGGTACCGATGTTGAGAAGCGGCGTGAGGCGAACGAGCGGGGCAGCTCACTTTTGGATCTGCGGCTTGGAGCACAGTCCTGACACAAATTGCGGTGGAAGACGCAAACGGAGTGGTAGAGCGCACGAGGTTTGACGTAACAGTCGACCAAGTGTGCGAACGGAGTGGAAAGAGCGTACGCGGTTGACGTAACAGTCGACCAAGCACGTGAACGGAGTAGAAAGAGCGTACGAGGTTGGCGTAATAGTCGACCGAGTGCGTGAGCGGAGTGGAGAGTACACGAGGACCGGCAGACGAAGGCTGTCCGAGTGTGCGAAACGGAGAGCGAGCGAAGCAGGGAGGCGAACGAGCAGGGCCAACCCGCTTCGTGAGCGATTACAGCAAGCGGCGCACGTGGTGACTGCACGGGCATCGTTGACGTCTCGAGTGGCGTGGCGAGGAGCTCTACGGGGCACCTGAGGTCTGCGTGAGTGAGGCGGGTAGCGTTCGGTGTAGGAGAGCCCGTGTGACGAAGTAGCGCAGCGGCGTGAAAGGCTGGTGCTTGGAATAGCATTTGGAGGTTGAGTAGGAGTACGTTAGCGGAGTGAGGCTAGTGTTACGTAAATACAAATAGGAACGGGCGCGAGGCGAACGTTCCGGCGCAGAACCAAGTGGTTTCTGTCGGCCAGTAGCACGAGCACGTTCGTAGACGACAGACGACTTACAGGGCGAGCCCCCAGCGCAGCACTAGTGGAGCAATACGATCTGCCCCACGGCCGGACAAGATAATTGGCCTGTTACATGGTGGTCATACAGGGGCCTAAAGCAAGCAACCGACGAGCAGTACAAGACGAAATGGCGATTACGAGGACGAGAACGAAGTCGGCAGCATCTAAGGCAACGAGGGTGAAGACTCGGACTTCACCACGGTACGCGAAAGGCCAGAAACGTGGTCACGACAAGGAGACGACGCGAGACGTTCCCGCTGGAGATGGAGATGGCGAGGACAGCACGGAGAATCGACAGGAAGGCGCTACGCAGGCAGAGTCTGTGTCGGAACGCACGGTGTTGAGGCTGGAGGCGGCGAATGACGGCGTTGCGGTACAATTGCACCCTGGTGTGGGCGACGACGACGCGCACCCAATCACAACCGACCACTCGCCTCTCAATAAGGATCAGGCGGCAGAGAGTGCAATAAGGTACGCGCGAGAAGAAGCAGAAGATGACGGGGCACCGGAACAGGACAGGACGGTTTCGCAATCGACGGTGGACGCGATGGCTGCAACTATTGGCGAGTTACGGGCGATGGTGACACGTCTGCACCAAGATCCGAGCGACGCTGGGCACGGTGAGCCCCAGTCGGAGCGCCAGCGGACTCGGGAGGAGTCGAGACGACGCACCTCGGAGCGTACGAGGCGACCAAGGTGACATGACAGCGGGAGTGACGATTCTGAGGAGGAAGGAGAGCAACGGCGGCGAAGCACGGCGCGACGATCGGCGCGAGTGAGGTCCTCAGGGTCACCCGGAGGAGACGACAGCAGCGACGACTCAAGCGGTGCGTTCAGTGGCGACTCGAGCAGCTCCAGCAGCTCGAGTAGTGAGAGTGAATCCAGTGACGACGATAGCAGTGAGGGCGATGACAGCGGGAGCCAGTCCGACCCTGACGAGGGCTCCAGGCAGTTGAGGCGGTCACACCGGCGACGAGGGCATCGGAAACGGCACGAACGACAAGAGCGGAGGGGACAATGGGAGCCCGCTAAGAGGAGTGTGAAGGACCTTGAACCCCCCACGTACACGCCCTCCCCGAAAGTGTCCGTGTCCACGTGGATCGACCGCGTCGATTTGGCGTTGAAAGGTGCGGAGGAGTCCGGACGTGGTCAGTGGACAGATAGGGCGCTCTATTTTATCCTCGGGAACAAGCTGATGGAGAACGCTGCACGGTGGTGGGTCAACATGGATCGCAGGCTTCCCGATAGCAAGCGGACATGGTCGTACCTGAAGAAATCGTTGCAGCGACGGTATGGAGAAAGACTGGATAAATCGACGGCGGAATGGCTTGTTAATGGGCGGCGTATGGCTCCGGGAGAAACTTATGCGGACTATGCGGCGGTACTTCGAGACCTCGTAGGCAAGAATAAGGTGAGCGAGCGTGTCCTGTTGGCACAGTTTTACAGATGCCTGGACAAGGCAACGAAGAAACTGGTGCAGCAGCGACCGAAGCCGAGGACGTTAGAGAGGGCTGTTGCGAAAGCCACGAAGATCGACGACCCGATGGGTAATGTCGCGCAGGGCATGATGAACATCGGGCAGGCGTGGGCCACTGCGCCGAACCCATACATCATACCCATGGCAGGCACGATGGGACAGACGATGGTAATTCCAGGAGCTGGTGGAGCAGGGCTGCCATCCACGATGGGGCATGGTACGGAGTCAGCAGATGTGAGGTCAGGAGTATGGCTCTCTTCACGAACCCACAGGGTGTCTGGAACGCTTATTCGAGTACGTGGGATGTGCCACCCGGGCACACGTGGAACGGGAAAAACTGGGAGGCGTCGAAGCGCAGCGAGAGGAATTTGCAGCAGCAAGTGGGTAAGAAGACGGAGCGTAAGGGGCGGCGTCAGCGCGAGCGGGACTCAAGCGACGAGGAATCAGACGGCGTACCGGTGAAGAAGAAGTTAAAGGCGGCGGTTCGACAGGCGAAGGGACAAGACGGTGACCCAACGGCGGCGGGAGCACTCAGAGGCGGTGATACGGTGATGTGCTTCGGCTGTAAGCAACCCGGTCATATAAGAATACACTGCCCAAACCCGCCGAAGTGCTTTGCGTGCGGCGAGCCCGTGCACTTCGCACGGGATTGCACTAAAGCAGAGGCCAAGTCACGCAATGACGAGTACATGAAGCGTCGGACAGGAGCGGAGAAGCCGTCGGAAAACTAGAAGTGCAGTGACGGGACCACGGCGTCCGACATCAATGACGGATCCCCGACAACCGGAGCAGGCCAAGAGCGGTGATGCGGCTATTGGTTGCGATACCGGCGGTGAGGAGGCGGTGAGTGAGAGGCCGGATACGACAGCAGAAGGTGATGAGTTGAGTGGCGGAGCAGACGAGATAGCGGGGGTGGGTGCGGTGATGCAGTGCATGAAGGCGGATGTGATGTTGGAGGATAAGGAGCGTGCAGGGCGCTCACGGGTCACGGTGCGACCAGCCATGGCCGCGGCGCGATATGTGCGAACGGAAGGTGATAACGGCAGCCGGACGGAGGGTGCTGATGGCGTGGTGTCGAGTCAAGCAGACTTGCGCGCTGGACTCAGTACGGAAGTTGCAGCGTGAGCAAGTACTAACGTGGATGGGCGAGTTGGGCGATGTGGGCACCCCGTTGGCTAATGAGGACGAGGTCAGGATCGGCGAGAAAGACGAGGACAGTAGAGAGCTGGTGATGAAGTTGCTGAGGGCGTACAGGAAGACCACGGAGAACACTGAGGAGTGTCCGCCTGCGACGACACTAAATGTGGAGCACGACATCGACACTGGAGACGCGGCCCCTATCATGTTGAAGAAAAGACGATTGGCGGAGACTGACGACCCGGTTGTTACCAGCAACGTGACGAAAATGCTTGGTGCCGGTGTTATCGAGGAAGGAGAAGGTGCGTGGGGATTCCCGGTGGTCCTCGTCAAGAAGAAGGATGGCGAGGTACGATTTTGCATTGACTACAGAGCGTTGAATAAGGTGACGAAGAAGGACGTCTATCCCCTGCCAAGGATAGACGAGACTCTGGAAGTGTTAGGAGGCGCCGTGCTGTTCACGACTTTGGACCTTAAAACGAGCTACTGGCAGATAAGAGTCGCGGAGGCTGATCGTCCCAAGACGGCCTTCACCACCAAGCAAGGTCTGTACCAGTTCGTGAGGATGCCGTTCGGGTTAGCGAACGCACCCTCCACGTTCCAGCGGATGATGAATAGCGTGCTGCGGGGACTTACGTGGTTGACCTGCTTAGTGTACCTGGACGATATCGTCGCCTTCACGCGCGGCGGTATTGAGCGTCACGTAGTTGAGGTGGCGTGTGTATTGGAGCGTCTGGCGGCTGCGGGATTGACGTTAAAGCTGAAGAAGTGCGTGTTTGCGACGCGGAAGATGGAGTACCTGGGACACGAATTGAGCTCGGACGGCGTGCGGCCACTGGAGAGGTTGGTGACGGCGGTGCGAGACTTCCCACGTCCAGTCGACGCCGTGGAAGTTAAGCGCTTTGTATACCTGGCGGGTTATTACCGGCGATTCATTGAAGGGTTCGGGTCGCTCATGGCGCCGATGACCAAGTTGTTGCGCAAGGACGCAGAATGGGAATGGACACCAGCGCAGGAATCGGCGTTCGAGTACGTAAAGATGATCCAAACGACCAAATCTTTGCTGATCTATCCGAACGTTGAGCTGCCATTTCGTGTAGTGACGGACGCGAGCAAGGTCGGGCTGGGTGCCTGTCTTATGCAAGATCACGGGAATGGATGGCAACCGGTGGCTTACGCGAGTAAAGTCAATAGTCCTACCGAGGCTAACTACGGTATCACGGAGCTGGAGTGTTTAGCGGTCGTCTGGTCTGTCAAGTTGTTTCGGTCGTATTTGGACGGCAGGACGTTTACCATCGTAACGGATCATGCAGCCCTAAAGTGGCTGATGACCAGCCCCAGCTTGACGGGTAAACTGCATCGTTGGGCGTTGCCCCTTCAGGAGCTCGAGTTCACGGTGGAGTATCGGCCTGGCAGTACCAACGTGGTGGCCGATGCTCTCTCTAGGGCGCTGGCAGTGGTTGCAGCAGCGGTGGGACGGCGGCGGCGGTCTCGACAGGGAGCGGCGAGTGTAGTTGTGGTGGGAACGAGGAATGCGGCGGCGGGCGTTGTAGCTGACGCAGTAAGTGATGCGCGGACGGAGATGGATGCAGGTGTGGGCCACGACGACGAAGTGAGACTGGCATCGGAAGTCCGGGCAGACCTTGGACGGGATGGAGCGGTTGAAGCGCAACCAGCGCCCACGGCGGAAGAGAGACTAACGGCAGTGAACGAGGACGGCGCGGTAATCACGACGAACGACGGAGCGTTAGCGAGAGGAAGCGTGGTTGCAGAGAGCGAGTGCTCAGGCGGCGGGTCTCGACAACTGGAGAAGGCGCGCAGCACTGATAAGTCGCTGAGGCTGGAGAAGGCGCGCGATGACATTAAGTCGCGTCAACTGGAGAAGGCGAGCAGTCCTGATGGCGGCGCACCCGCTGCAGAATCGACACGGCCGTTTAAGCGAGCGGTCAAGCGACGGCTGGAAGCAGCAAAGGCGCCGGTGGTGACGACTGTTGAGCAGCAGCAGTCGACGGAAGAAGCGACGGTGCGCTCGGATAGTGGCGAACGACGAGGGCAATGGCGAGTGCGCTTTGACCTGCTTGGGCCAGACGGCACGGCTAAGCGACCGCGTACGACCGCAGTGGTGATTGAGCGTGAGCGAGACGATGGTGGCAGACTGGAACCCACGGCGGTAACTGCACGGAGGCGACCAGCGAGAGCGGACGTGCGGGCGGAAGGTACGGGCAATCGGCGTCGGACGCTCACGGCAGCACGATCTACACAAAGGTTGGATGAGGTGGAAAGAGGCAACGCGGATGAGCAGCGTTACCCGATACGGGGCCCCGATGGTCTTCAAGAGTCCCAGGTAATGGATGGCGTGATACGGGTCCCAGTCAGTGAAGACGCACGGGATTAGCTCGAGCAGCGACGACCGCCAACCCTACAGTTAACAGACGCTGCGGTGATTGCGGCACAGTCACGGAGTCGCCTGGTGCAGAGAGTGCTCAAGGCGCGCGAGTATCGTGGAATGACAGTGGAGGTGCGGCACAACCTGGTGTCGATCAAGACGCCACGGGGACGACGGGTGGTGCTTCCCCCAGAGCTTTGGCCGGTGGCTTTTAAGTTACATCACGACTCAGTGTGGGCGGGGCATCTACGAGCCCCACACACGTACGAGAGGATAGCGGCGCACTATTGGTGGCCAGACCTGCATAGTGAGGTGAAACTTTGGGTGCGAGGCTGTCAGGAGTGCGGTAGCAGGAAAGCCAAGCCACGCGAGGTAATTCCACCCTTGCGCAGTATTCGCGGTGGGGACGTAGGTGACCGGTGTGCCTTAGACGTCGCTGGACCCTTACCAGTGGCCGGTGGCGGACAGAGATACGTTATCGCTGCCGTCGAGTACGTCACTCGTTACGCGGTGGCAAAGTCTGTCAAGCGGCACACGGCGGAGAATGTGGCGAGGTTCTTAATGGAGGAAGTGGTGCTAAAATTTGGCGTGTTTCGCGAGCTATTGACGGATGCTGGTAATTGAGAATTTGGTTGTGATGCTGCAAGCCGAGCAGATTAATCCAGTATCTTATCGGCCCCAGATGATCGGGCTGGTTGAGCGGTTTCACCGCACGTGGAAGGATTGCGTGGCCACATACATGCAATCGGACGCACAAAACAGCTGGGCTACGTGGGTGTCTTTCGCTGTATACGCCTACAGCTCCGGAAGGCACTCAATGGTGGCGCTTTCGCCTAATGTGCTTATGATGGGTAGAAGATTGCGGAGTCCCAACGAGTTGCTAAGTGTGAACGGAGTGACGGAAGCGGGAGAGTTGTCGGATTGCCACCGACAGTTAGTGGCAGCAATGAAAAAGAGTTACGAGGTGGCTGAGAGCGCGCGGGAGCGAGAGCAGCTCCGGCAAGCGCACTACTACAATCGGAAGGCGAGGAATCGGCGCGAGTTTCAACCAGGTGATCGGGTGTGGCTGTACCGACCGCCACGCGGAGCTAAGGCGAGTAAATTTGTCCATCAATGGATGGGGCCAATGACGATTATCGAGCCCGCGGGTTTTGAAAACGTTTTGGTCGAACGAGAAGATCAGAACGGCGTGCCAGAGCGATTTATAGCTCACGTGTCGTTTCTGATCACCTACTACTATCCGGCGGACTTACTGAAACGCGCGGCGGCGGATATTACAGGGCAGTTGGAGTATGAAGATCCGAGCGAGCCCGGTGAAGATGTCCCGCCAGCAAGCACGACTGCTGGAGCAGCGACGGCAGCTGTGCAGGCAGCAACGGGAGCAAGAATGGCAACACGTAAGGCGATAACTGTGGGCCGTGACGAAGCCTGGCGAGTCACGAGTGGCGCAATGGTGGAGATTCGAAGACGACGACGTCGAAACAAGGCTGGATGTTACGTCCTCGAGTACGAATTGCGGTCCGTGCGACGCGACGTGTGTGCTGCGGGAGCTCCCGAGAGTGTATGGGTCTCCAGTGCAGTCTACGACGAGTTGTTTATGGCCGACAGAGTCGTGGAAGACTCTGAGTTGGAGGAAGGCGTGTAACGAGTCGGAAAGTTACGTGGACCACGTGGGTGTCGAGCCAGTTGGTGATCAGTCGCACGAATGGCACATGGGCGGCACGTCAGGTCTGGGAGACGAGGTGGAGGAAGCTGATATGGGCGCGGAAACTGATGTGGGCGCGGAGGCTTAGGTGGGCGCGGAGGCTGATGTGGGCGCGGAGGCTTAGGTGGGCGCGGAGGCGGATGGCTGTGGCCGCGAAAGCCTAAGCTGGAACGGAGGACGGGGTGGAGTGGAACGGAGTGGATGTGGGAGGAACGGAGATAGTGGGGTGAGCTGAGTTGAAGTACCGTGAGGCAGCCGCGGCGTGAGGTACCGATGTTGAGAAGCGGCGTGAGGCGAACGAGCGGGGCAGCTCACTTTTGGATCTGCGGCTTGGAGCACAGTCCTGACACAAATTGCGGTGGAAGACGCAAACGGAGTGGTAGAGCGCACGAGGTTTGACGTAGCAGTCGACCAAGTGTGCGAACGGAGTGGAAAGAACGTACGCGGTTGACGTAACAGTCGACCAAGCACGTGAACGGAGTAGAAAGAGCGTACGAGGTTGGCGTAATAGTCGACCGAGTGCGTGAACGGAGTGGAGAGTACACGAGGACCGGCAGACGAAGGCTGTCCGAGTGTGCGAAACGGAGAGCGAGCGAAGCAGGGAGGCGAACGAGCAGGGCCAACCCGCTTCGTGAGCGACTACAGCAAGCGGCGCACGTGGTGACTGCACGGGCATCGTTGACGACTCGAGTGGCGTGGCGAGGAGCTCTACGGGGCACCTGAGGTCTGCGTGAGTGAGGCGGGTAGCGTTCGGTGTAGGAGAGCCCGTGTGACGAAGTAGCGCAGCGGCGTGGAAGGCTGGTGCTTGGAATAGCATTTGGAGGTTGAGTAGGAGTACGTTAGCGGAGTGAGGCTAGTGTTACGTAAATACAAATAGGAACGGGCACGAGGCGAGCGTTCCGGCGCAGAACCAAGTGGTTTCTGTCGGCCAGTAGCACGAGCACGTTCGTAGACGACAGACGACTTACAGGGCGAGCCCCCAGCACAGCACTAGTGGACTGCTCCACGGCCGGACAAGATAATTGGCCTGTTACATTAGTATTAATAGAGCACAGATAAAGAGCTGTAAATATTCTAAGAAATAGTTTTTTAGTGTCTACTGTGTGCAGACTAGGGCATATCGCAAACTTACACTAATTGTAAGAAATGATCCTCGCAGACGATATAATTACAACTAACCGGTTTTCGCTCGAAGCTGAAGATTTAAACCGAATATATACAGTATTTTCATGATGCAGCTATTCTTCAAAAGCATCTACTTAGCGTTGTCTACATCCAATAAATCAATTCATGTTACAGACTTGTAGGCACATTTGGCAGCACGAGGCCGGCGCAGCAGAGAGAGAGAGAGCGTCGTGTGCGCATGAGTGAGCAGGAGGCACTATAACAAACAGGAGCGATCAGCAGCTGTGCTCTTTTCAGGCATGAAAAATGGTGAAGAGTCATTCGTCGAAGTGTCTTATTTCACAATTATTATCTCTTTTAGTTAGGGGACGCAAGTTTAGGTCAGGTACGCCTAACACGATGTGAAGTACGACCAACTTGTAGCTGCACATACGATAGACAATTTTGAGATCGTCAATAGTCCTTGTTATCTTCGCACTTGTTGTAGGTGTAGTAAAAGACAGAATGAATGAAATTGAGGAAGCTTAAAAAGAAAACGAACTCCTGTACTCCCCCCAGCTACGACCGGTCCGGCTCGGCCGGCCTAGCTGGAGCTGTTGTGCAATCATCCCACTTACTTCGTGCCTGAATTCGTCTTGAACGCGCGGGCTTCACGCCGGCGCGTCACGCGCCGCAACTCACGACAACTTGATCTCTCTTAATGCGTACAACTTGATCTCTCATAATGCGTCCTCTCACTCGTAAAAATACCCTATACGGAAACAGTCGCTCAGGAGTGGGTGACACGTCCGAGAAGTGTAGTAGGCAAGAACTCGGCGGGCACAGCAGTGCATGATGTCGGGTTCCGACGCGCCTGGCCAGAGAGAGCTGCCGGGGCAAGAGAGGAAGCCCCCGGATCCTGATGACCGCGAGAACCAGGAGCACGTGGAAAGCGAGCACGATGATAGCAGCTTCGGGGCCAGCCAAGATTCCATCGTTGGAGAAACACAGGATTCCCAACGCGAAGAGTCGCAACCGGATCTGGCAGAGTCGGTATCCGGAGACACTCCAAGACGAACGGAAACAATAGAGAGCCAAGCAGGAGCCGTATAAGCAGCAGGAGACGCAGATCCTCCATCCATCGGTCATTCCCCAGCAGCGCCAGCGAGAACCCAGGATGGAGAGACGGGACAACCTCCTTCACCGGCTTGTCCGGAAGAATTATTCGGGGCAGTGGTAGTGGCGATGAGTGTGGCGCCACAGGAGAAGCCTCGTGAGGAATGGATGGAGACAATAGTGACGTTGTACACGATAGTACACGATACAGTCAATGTTGATGTGGAGATGGTGCCAGCAAATAAGCGGCAATATCCGAAGCTGAAAGGCGAGGACCGAACTTGGCTATGCAAGTTGTACAAGGAAGCGTGTGTAGTGGCGGAAGGCAGCTACGTAGACTGGGTCCGGCTGGCAACAGCGGCGACCCTAGACCTCTACAACACAACGTGGTCCTTCAAGCACATCATGCAGAGTATGGTCAGCAGGGTCAAATGGGCGCATGAGACCCCGATCAACCAATGGGCAGAAAAACTCAAGCGAGGAACTGGAGCTGGTGGAGCAGTAGACACTGAATCCGACCAAGCGGGGACTCCTCAGTACACCATGTACATGTTCAATCCAGCGGTCTTTCCTAAAGCAGACATCGTATTGCTACGAAATTTGTGTGAAAGGCCCCCAGCGGCACCAAGTGGACGAGGTCTTCGAGAAGGCACCAAGGACGAATGGAAGATCATCACGGGCATGGTGGAAGGAACCATTCTATGTCGGAAAGCGCCAGGTTTCCTTAAGAGCGTATTAGACTCGAGGGAACGTCTCCGTCTCTACGGAACGATCCAGAAACATGTCGAAGGAGAACTCATCCTACAGCTCAGAGGATGGGTCACTGTCAAACCCAGTAGGCAAGCCACCAGAGCACTCAAGGATGACATTTTGTTAGCTGCAGAGGAGCACGGTGTCTCGAGCAACGACTTACGTCAAATGCTGCATTTGGTCAAGACCATCAGCTATGACCATACGAAACGCAGCATTCATTTCCACACTTTCGACCGAGCAACGGCCCGTCGGTTCCAGGACACCCAATTTCCGTTCAAGCGAGCCGTTTACAGGCTTCGAAACCCGCATCAGCCGGATACAGGATCGATATGGGCCAGGCAATTGGGCAACGACGGTGTACGGACGGACACGCAGCGAGAATATGTGGTGGACATCTTCAATGTACCCCGGTGCACGGATGTTGGGCGCTTAAATGCGTACCTACAGGCGCACATTAAGGCAGACATTGAGTTTGAAAACCTAGATGTCTATTATCCGGAATCCAGATCTTCAGTAGTGTGGAGACTTACGATGAAGACAGCTGAATGCCCGGAATTTTTGCGAGGGATAGTGCGAGTAATTTGGTATGGTCGGCCACTGGTGCTTAAACATCCAGCAGTTGGAAACCGTCTGCAGTGTCTCCAATGTGGGAACGTGGGGCACACGATGGTGCGATGCCGGTACACAGTGGAGCAACTCAAGGGAGAAGGCAGCCGCGTAGCGAGTGACACGGAGGTAACGAAGTTGGAAGATATGGCGCGACCTTTTGCCAGCCTCTCGGAGTTCAAGAAAGCCGCAGAGACAAGACTCTCGGTGCATCAAGCCCACCAAAACAAAGCGCGAGAGGCGGCAGCACCGCCAGCACCAGATCTCGGCTCCCTGGACTCACAGAGAGTCAGTGGGTCAACATCGGGTTTGTATCCGGTGGGGCCGGTAGCATCGAACAACCGCAAGTCCCAGCCACCAGCGCCTCAACCCAAAAAGAAGTGGGCCACCGTTCCGCTTTCGCGAGGGAGAACCCTATACGCGCATCCAGCAGCGTTAGCCGAGAAAAGGTTTGGAATCTCTTCTAGGTTTGCAGTATTCGAAGAAGAAGATGAGAACAAAGGAGATCAGGAAGAGAAGAGAGAAGCTACCTTAGTCCAAGCTGCGGTCGAGATATCGTCCAGCGAGGAATCTGAAAGTCCGAAGCCTCGTACTCTCACGCCACAGGAACGAGCACAACTGCGCCTGGTCAAGGCGAAACCACCAAAGCTTATTGAATCACCCCAATTAGTAGCGCTAAAGCAACGGGAGCGGGAAGAGATGGAAACCCTCAAGGATTCCATGTCACAGTTTTAGGGCAGCTCTTTATTAAGTAGTGAGGACGCGAGCCAAGCGGTTACGTCTTTCCCGGAGATCGAGGCTTTGCTAGGACTTCGACAAGTTGCAACACCAGCAACCGGCAATTGCATGGTGATGGCACTTTCTCAGGCCATCGTGGACCATGACCTTGCAGCGCATGGCAAGGTACTGGAACAACTCGCATCAACGCTGAAGCGAGGCATTAAATGGTCAGCGCTGTTAGACAACGCAGAGCAATACGACCACTTCACGCGAACCAATACGTTGGTCAACGTAGGCCGGGGCTGGGATGGAATGGACTCGAAAGAATCCAGCAAGCAATTTAGATGGTATTTGGAGGAATTCGCGAGCTCGTCGTCGCAACGGGATGAGCTTCTCCCGCGAGAAGTCTGGGGCAGCAGCGAGCTCATGGCCGCGGCGGCAAACTTTCTCCAGAGACCAATCTACGTGCTAGCCTATAACACGGATGGTAAACATCTCTGATACTGCTCCAAGTATCGCCCCAGTTTGCTGTCCAAGGGTCGCAAGACTTACGACACAGGGCAGCAGATTCCGCTCCAGGTGGGGCGATGCTTAGCAGAAATCCGAAAGGCCAAACGAAAAGACAAGACGCCGCCGCTAGTTGTCCGTTTCTGGGGCAATCACTACTCCGCATTCGTACATACGCGCCAAAAAGAGGTTAAGGAGGCGGAAGTCGATGCAGAGAGTAGAGAAACCGTGCAGATGTCGACAGCTACAGCGAGGGCGGCGGATTCCAGTTCGTCAGCGGATCAGGGCCAAGATGCAGATATGGATCCATGGGACCCTGCCAAATGGAGCGGGAGCATTCCCGAATTGAAGCAACGAATGAAAGGAATGTCAATTCCGCATGATCTCAAATGTGAGATCCACTTGATCCTTGACAAGGCAGACCCGGCTAGGTACACCGAACTCCTAGCCTTTTTGGTCAATACTGTCTCAGCGCTCTCACTTGAGGAACGAACAGCGTTACTATCGACCCGCCTGGATACCCAAGATTCACCGGTTGTACGCCACATGTTGCAGCAGTATCAGATTTCCCTTGCAGTTCTTCGGCAATGGCAGCAGTCTGCAGCTGAGACAGCGCAGGAGGAATTGGATAACGAGGAGGGGGTGCAACCAGAAGCAGAAATTGGCTCGGATGCAGACTACGTTCCGTCAGAGTCCAGTTCACCAGAAAGCTCGCAGGAAACTCGGAGTGCAGCTCCAAAGTACTTCCAGTCGAAGCAGTCCGTTCAAAAGAGGCCTCACACCCTCACACCGATGGAAGGCGAGCAAATACGACTTCTAGTGCGGGCGAAACAGGACTCGCAATCTCACACGCATCAGCCGACCCCAATGGACGAGGATGAAGTAGGGCCAGGGAATGACGCCGTGACGGTGAACCGTTCGAATTGGTCGCAGCTGTGGCAGCAGCTCGGGACAACCTGGCCTTCGTCCGCCAAGTCCCAGTTCCCATTGGCCACTGGAAATACTACGCAATGGGCAGCAGCAGCAAAAGGAGAACCAGCCAAGCTCGTTCGTCTTCTACAACGGTTCCCATATCCGGATGAATTGCTGACAGCAGTAGCGGAACCGGTACTACAACAGTGGACGGCCGCGTGGAGACGGGAATGTTTACATGGCCAATTAGGCATTTACGTCACGAGATGCAAGGACAAAGCGACGCAACAATGGATTGAGGACTGGCGAACCAGGATAGCTCGCCCAAGAACGAAAAATCTGGACGAAGCTTCGGACAACACTATCGACTGGACTCGACTACGAGGAAATGGATATGGCAAGGACGAGATTTTGAAGCTGTGCGACACTACCAACAAGTTGCGACTGGCACAACACATTCTTTGCTCTCTACTGTATGACAAAGATATCAAAGTGCTAACCCACCAGGAGGAAGTAGACGAACAAGGAGTCCGTTCCAGGCTGGTTCACGCAAATGCATTCAGGAAAGCGTTTACACCAGACGGAGTGAACGTTAACTGGACTAGAACGGCTCGTTATTTCGACACAGAGATCGAACACGGGGACCGGATCCAACTAGCCAATATGATTAGTAGTCACATAATTCCTGATCGCCAAGGGGGGGGGGGG